AGCATCATTCAATCGCTCGCATAAATGTATGTCTTTCTGAACGCTTGTTCGTTACATTGACCATTTGAATCTATATATACACGCATTCGTTGGTTGCCTACCCATTTGCTGCCTGATGAAACCACGTACTCTTATGTTCTTGATGATGAACATAATATTGTGTCATAAAATTCGATGCCAGCTACTGATGTGGATTTTTTTTTTCTCTCCCGAAAACAAATCCAATCTGTCAAAATCCTTTTGCTAGAGATTTTGATATGGATTTGACGCAGTGTGGCCGTATTGGCACAATCACAGCGTCAACTGAGGTTTAAACAGCGATTTTCATTATCTAAGCTGGATGAGATTTGCAATCGAATTCGAATATTAATAAATTCTGGATGAGATTCACGAGATCAAAACGTGTTTGTTGTACGTGATAAAACCACATCATTCGATTGAATTTCAAATAAAATTTATTGGTGTTTATCATTGGCTTCATAATTGTCATTTGAATTTTCGTTTTGCTACCGAATAACACCGAGGCAATCATTTGAAATTGTCTCCGTTTTTCATTTGGCATTTATATGGAACCATCTTTTGAATTGAAAAACAATGAGCTTTTATTTGGAAGGTTTTCCATTTTTTAATTTTATCTAAGTCAACAATCATGTCGCCGACAAAATCTTACGCCTAATATCAAAAAAAAATTATCGAAAAAATAAACATTTTTTTCTCTCTCTTTGTTTTTTAATCTGATTTCAGCTACATCATCACTTCTACCATATCTAACAATTCACATGCAAAGTATAGGCTTAACAATTGAAGAAATCGCCATAATTTATTTAGCACTGCCGTTTACGACGTTTTTAAGCCCTCCGCTTACAGGTAATGTTTTCTTTTTTATTTCAATATTATTTTCCAATTTTTTTTTTACATTTAATATCATGAAAAAGAGTATTGTTACAAAGTATCGTCTGTATTATCTGTTATTTTTATTGTTAATCGTAATCGCAGACAAGATGATTTGCGTTTTCTATATCGATTATGTTATGGAATCCATGATCCTAATAATTCATCCCATGATCATCATATAATGGTTAATCCAAAATCCAATAGAATTTCCCAGAAAGTCTTTTTAATAAATATGGCATTCCTAATACAAACAACTACCTTCATAAACAATTAAAAGCGGGTAGAAATTATAACATGCGCACACTCACAAATCAACTCGGAATAGAAATGAATGATTTATAAGACGGTGCAAATATTTTTTTGTCCGAAATAGCACAGCAGTTTCGTCAATCCGAATTTTCGCGACATGTTTTTCGCCGCCTTTTTGATAATCACACTGATAGCAAGTAAGATATATCGGACGGGATGTAATGCGTAGATATTTCGGTAAGAAAACAATATCCAATGAGCGAAGAATGTGTTAACGACCTTTTGTCGTAGATTGTTTACGGTCTATAAAATTAATTACACAGAGAAGCTTATTACGTAGTGACGAATGAAAAAAAAATGGCTACCGTTCAAAATGAAGATTGGCATTGTTTTGTCTGTTTTTTTTTTCTTCTTATTTGTCACATACTTTAAGTAAATGAATTGATAAGTTCAAAATGGTTATTTCAAGTTCGTTCCGCTTTAAACAGCAACCATGTCTCTCTCTCTCCAGTATTTACTTCAATCGTTTTCTGCCGTCGCTATTTCAGTGCGATTATATCGATACGGGAAATGGCGCGATTAAGTGCCTCACTTTACATCATGATGTGTCATTTTGTTTTGCAAAAGTATTTCATTCGCATGTTTTCCATAGAAAATATTCATTTCACATTTAAAACTGATAAAAATATATATTTGAATAGGTTTTTTGGTGGATAAGTTTGGCAAGTACAAACCAGTCGTAGTTATGAGTTTACTGCTAAATGCAGTTTTTCATCATTCATTGATGATGATACCACAACAAGAAATACCCGGTGCTGTGCCGAAAGCTTATGTCATGAAGCATCCGATGACAAACGCTGTTGAGGTAAAGATGCGAAATAAATCGGCTTAAAAATACCGATGAACACTTTTAAAAGCCATTTTATCTCCCTTATAGGTCTGGTGGTCACCATGTCCAAGTCGCGAGTGTCCAGAAGAGGAAGGAATTGATATTGTTGTTGATCAGTGTTTAGATCATTGTTTATTGCTCGAACAAAATCCGAAAATTGAAATAATTGCACCGCCAACAAAAAGCCCGATGCGACCACCGGTTACAGAAGATAATGGAGACATTGACGATCTTAACTTCCATTTGAGCAAACATAAGCATAAAGACATCAAAGGTCATTATTCATCAACAACAACGTACTCATCAACTACAGAACCGCCGAGTGAGTTTTACATAATAAAGATGCATCGTTTTAATGTTAAAAAAAAATTATGAACAAAGAGACTGTTCCTCACAATTAGAGGATGATGACAAAATTGATGACATTATGATGTTAGAACCTTCGGCTTCTAATATTTTGCTCTGAAAAACCGTTTCTGATTAAGAATGATCTTGATATAATAATTAAAAAAAAAAACAATTTATTTGCAGCGACGACGAGTAAACTAAATGAAACGCTTGAGAATCAAAATGTAACGAGTGAAGAAGAAGGAGGTTGGGTGCTAGCAGATGCAGATGATGCGGCACATTTTCTACTTGACCTGCATCCGTATCTTGGTCCTCCAAAAGAAAATCTTGGTATTGTTGTCGAACAAGACGATAACGAAACGGTGACTGACTTCAAAACCAGATTCGGTGAAAAATTGCTCTGGGACAATTTTGTAAATGTGACTGAACTTGAAGAAGGTGATCTACGATGTGGCGGTTTGGTTGTATTAACAAATATGTCCGGCATCAGTAATAATCGCTTGAATGAGTTGGCGGCCGATTGTATGGTTCAAGAATGTGCGTTTAGACATGGTGGCCCCGAGATGTGTCCGTAAGTGGTGTCTATGTCTACTAGGGTGGGTCAATTTTTTTAAAGGGACAATATAAAATGACCTGGGGTGGCTATGAGTACTACATAGCAAGAGAAAACATTCTGTATCATTACTTTTTCTAAAGTCATCCATCCTGTCCAGGGAGCCGGATTTGAAAAAATTCTCGATTTTGGCCAAAATGTGACATATTTTCTGATGAAAATTTGTA